TCTTCAGTATAAATCAGATAAGTACATTCCAGGTGCATCAACACCAAAGGTGTCTGAAGTCTTTACAATTGGTTTTCTTCAGACAGCCTGAGTAAAAAAAGCGCGTCCCTTGCCTGTACACTATGGAGAAGGACCCTTGCTTGGAGCAGCGCAGTGTAGCTCCATCAGTGCGACCAATAGTGCCCATCCATGTTGCCTATCAATGCCCATCAGTGCCTCCTCAGTGCCTCCTCAGTGCCCATCAGTGAGCCTATCAGTGCCCATCAGTGAGCCTATCAGTGCCCATCAGTGCCTCCTCAGTGCCCATCTGTGAGCCTATCAGTGCCCACCCATGCTGCCTATCAGTGCCCATCATCTGTGCTGCCTATCAGTGCCTCCTCATCAGTGCCCATCAGTGCCCATCCATGTTGCCTATCAATGCCCATCAGTGCCTCCTCAATGCCCATCAGTGAGCCTATCAGTGTCCATCAGTGCCTCCTCAGTGCCCATCTGTGAGCCTATCAGTGCCCATCCATGCTGCCTATCAGTGTCCATCATCTGTGCTGCCTATCAGTGCCTCCTCATCAGTGCCCATCCATGTTGCCTATCAATGCCCATCAGTGCCTCCTCAATGCCCATCAGTGAGCCTATCAGTGCCTCCTCAGTGCCCATCTGTGAGCCTATCAGTGCCCATCCATGCTGCCTATCAGTGCCCATCATCTGTGCTGCCTATCAGTGCCCATCAGTGCAGCCTCATCGATGCACATCAGTGAAGGAGAAAAAATAACTTATTTACAAAACTTTATAACAAAAAACTAACAAAAACTTTTTTTTTCAAAATTTGTGGTCTTTTGTTTGTTTACCAAAAAAAATAAAAACCCCACAGGTGATTAAATACCACCAAAATAAAGCTCTATCTGTGTCAAAAAAATGATCAAAATTTCATATGGGTACAGTGTTGCATGACCGCGCAATTGTCATTCAAAGTGTGTCAGCGCTGAAATCTGAAAATCGGCCTGTGCAGGAAGGGGGTGAAAGTGCCCGGTAGGCGGGGGGTTAAGGCCGCCCATAAATGAGGTTCGGTGCTTCTTCACTGTTCTTCCTGCAAGATGCGTCCCTGCCCGACCCCAGGTTCACACCAAAGCATTTTCCGTTGCATTTTTCAGAAACACACAGCAGTTCATTTCACATGATTTCCTATGGGACACGTTCACATCTCTGCGTTGTCACCCGGTGCGTTTTTTGGAAACGGTCAGGGACTTTTAGAATGCAAAAAGTTGCCCTTTTGGTTCTATAGACTTCAGTGGAAATGCTGCAGAAAAGCATGCAGTGCCTTTTTGCTGTTTTTTTTTTGCTGTTTAAATCTGCCTAGCAACAAGAACATGTTCAGAATCAAAGTCGGGGTCAGAGTATTAAATGGATATCGGTGTTTTCGGTAGGATAAAAAGCGAAATGCGTACAATCAACTGACATACAGATATACAGTTGCAAGAAAAAGTATGTGAACCCCTTGGGATTACGTGGAGTTTTGCATGAATTGGGCATAAAATGTCCTCTGAACGTCATCTAAGTCACAACAATAGAAGAACACAGTCTGCTGAACATAATACTACACAAACATTAGATGTTGCCATGGTTTAATTGCACATAACATGTAAACATTCACAGTGCAGGGAGGAAAAAGTATGTGAACCTTTGGACTTAATAACTGGTTGACCCTCCTTTGGCAGCAATAACCTCAACCAAACGTTTCCTGTAGTTGCAGATCAGACCTGCACAACGATCTGGAGTCATTTTGGACCACTCCTCTTCACAAAACTGTTTCAGTGTAGCAATATTCTTGGGATGTCTGGTGTGAATCGCTCTCTTAAGGTCATGCCACAGCATTTCAATCGGGTTGAGGTCAGGACTCTGACTGGGCCACTCCAGAAGGCGTATTCTGTGCTGTTGCAGCCATTGTTTTGTTGAATTACTTGTATGCTTTGGGTCATTGTCCTGTTGCATCACCCATCCTCTGCGGAGCTTCAGTTGGCGGACAGATAGTCGTACGTTTTTCCTGCAAAATGTCTTGATAAACTCTGGAATTCATTTTCCCATCAATGACAACAATCCGTCCAGGCCCTGAGGCAGCAAAGCAGCCCCAAACCATGATGCTCCCTCCGCCATGTTTCACAGTGGGGATGAGGTTTTGATGTTGGTGTGCTGTGCCTTTTTTTCTCCACACATAGTGTTGTGTGTTCTTCCCAAACAACTCAATCTTGGTTTCATCTGTCCACAGTATATTCTGCCAGTAGTGCTGTGGAACATCCAGGTGCTCTTTTGCAACTTCAAACGTGCTGCAATCTTCTTTTTGGACAGCAATGGCTTCCTCCGTGGTGTCCTCCCATGTACTCCATTCTTGTTTAATGTTTTCCTTATTGTAGATGTGTCAACAAAAATGTTATCATGTGCCAGAAATTTCTGTAGGTCTTTAGCTGACACTCTGGGATTCTTCTTTACCTCATGCAGCATTCTGCGCTGTGCTCTTGCAGTCATTTTTACAGGACGACCATGCCTAGGGAGAGTAGCAACAGTGCTAAACTTTCTCCATTTGTAGACAGTCTGTCTTACCGTGGACACATGAACATCAAGGCTTTTGGAGATACTTTTGTAACCCTTTCCAGCTTCATGCAAGTCAACAATTCTTGATCGTAGGTCTTCTGAGAGCTCTTTTCTGCGAGGCATGGTTCACATCAGACAGTGCTTCTTGAAACCAGTAAACCCAAAACTGGTGTGTGTTTTTAAGGGCAGGACAGCTGTCAGCAACACATCCAATATCATCACACTGATTGGAGTCAAGGTTGGCTCACTCCTGGCTCCAATTAGCTCTGGGAGAAGTTATTAAGCTAGCGCCTCACATACTTTTTCCTCCCTGCACTGTATATGTTTACATGTTATGTGCAATTAAACCATGGCAACATCTAATGTTTGTGTAGTATTATGTTCAGCAGACTGTGTTCTTCTATTGTTGTGACTTAGATGACGTTCAGAGCACATTTTATGCCCAATTCATGCAAAATCTCCACGTAATCCCAAGGGGTTCACATACTTTTTCTTGCAACTGTATATGGTGTCACTGCGATTGTTAGGAGGGAATTTGTTTTGGGTTGTCCTTTGATGGTAGGTTATGGTAACTGCAAGAAATATACAGCTAAAACTGGGGGAAAAAAATACTATTTTGGGCCAGTTTTCCTTTGACAATAATAATAGAAAAAACCAAGTCAGAAGATATCCGTTCCCATTCCCACCAATACAAAGCCCCCTTCCTCCAGGTACGATCCCCGAGTAGTTGCGATGATGGGTACGGTTTTACTAACACAGATGCAGAGCTCGGTCCAGGCGTTAGGATTTGTTTCATGCGTCATCATGAAGGGGTTGCCATTGACTATCAGAGGCTCTTCTACATGTGCCACCTATGGAATTTGGGGTGGTGTTGTCCTTTAAAGCCCCCGGAATCTCCTCTGGCCTCACCGATACACAAGGCTCCGCTTGGCGCGAGAAGAGAGACGAGTCGTGTTTTCCAGTGTCATGCAGGTGCCAAGCTGGCACATACGCGGGTTGCTGGAGCCAATGCGGGGCCAATCATTAACAGGCAGGACAAATAAAGTTACTACAAAGGACATCGTAACGGGAAGCTCAGGGAGGGAGTCACATCAATGAGGGGTCAAGACAGCGACCAGGGGCGGAGTGACCATTTGGAAACTCGGGCACTGCCCTAGGGCCCGGGTCAGTAGGGGGCCCCTTGAGATGCCCCTGGTACCTTTTTCAAAGGCTTTTTTGAGTTTGGGCAAGGACACAGGGGCCCCATGATCCTCTATTGCCCGGGTGCCCCATGAGTTGTCAGTCCGCCCCTGACAGCGACACCCTACTTGTGGCACTACAGCCCATCAGCACACAACAAAACATTCACGTCTTGCGTGTGTCCGCCCTTCTGGGCCCATTCAAACCGATGCATTGCAGGAACTCGCATTGTAACCACCTCCCGTCCGGCCCGTGTTTATAAACGGTCTCCCCAACCCCTGCTTGTGTGCGCTCCCTGGGAGCGGGCAGCACCCGCGATCTGGTCCTCCGGACACAGTGGAACACCGATCGTCGGACGGGACCTCTGTGTACGCCTACACCACACACACCAATGTCACGCCTACGCCACACACACCAATGTCACGCCTACGCCACACACACCGATGTCACGCCTACGCCACACACACCGATGTCACGCCTACGCCACACACACCGATGTCACGCCTACACCACACACACACACACACCGATGTCACGCCTACGCCACACACACCGATGTCACGCCTACGCCACACACACCGATGTCACGCCTACGCCACACACACACACACCGATGTCACGCCTACGCCACACACACCGATGTCACGCCTACGCCACACACGCCGATGTCACGCCTACACCACACACACACACACACACCGATGTCACGCCTACACCACACACACACACATCGATGTCACGCCTACGCCACACACACACCGATGTCACGCCTACGCCACACACACACCGATGTCACGCCTACGCCACACACACACCGATGTCACACCTACGCCACACACACACCAATGTCACGCCTACGCCACACACACACACCAATGTCACGCCTACGCCACACACCAATGTCACGCCTACGCCACACACACACACCAATGTCACGCCTACGCCACACACACCAATGTCACACCTACGCCACACACCAATGTCACACCAACGCCACACACACCGATGTCACGCCTACGCCACACACACCGATGTCACGCCTACGCCACACACACCGATGTCACGCCTACGCCACACACACCAATGTCACGCCTACGCCACACACACCAATGTCACGCCTACGCCACACACACCAATGTCACATCTACGCCACACACACCAATGTCACGCCTACGCCACACACACCAATGTCACGCCTACGCCACACACACACACAGGATCATACGGTCACGTTGTCTTACTCCCAGAATTCTGTGACGGGAGAGGTGAAGTTGCTGGAGTTCAGCGCCAGCCATATCGTCCGGTTCTTCCGGGAAGTGTCCTCCACACAGTTCTCAGTGTTCCACGGCTGGTGGCACAGAGCCCACGGCAGCTGGCCCTGGAAGGACTGGAATAAGTAATAGACACCCCAGGCCAGGATGACGATGTAGTAGATGTTCAGGAGGGACACAATGACGATGGAGGCGTAGCCGATGCCTGGAAAAAGGAGAGAACATTCTATTAGCCGTAAAGTCGTCCCGTGTTCTCATGATGTCCTTCTTGGCAAACAATACAAACTGGCAAAGCAACCACCTGGGAGGAGAAAAACTTTTTTGGTGATTTGGATGAGATACAAGATGAATTCCAGACAGCAGGACCCGTATGTTATCTGCTCACAGTCCACCTCCATCCTGCAGCGCAAGCTTTTCTACAGCACGGGTCTCCAAACTTCAGAAACAAAGGGCCAGTTTACGGTCTTTCAAACTTTAGAAGGGCCAGACTGTGGCCAGTGGGAGTAGAAAATGCCCCGGCATCAGCGGGAGTCCAAAATGTCTCAAACTTAATGGTCAGTAGGAGTTACAAAATTAGACAGTGCATGTGTAGTCAGTAGGAAGAGTAATAGTGCCCATCATTGGTGTCAGTGGGAGGAATAGTGCCCCATCATTGGTGTCAGTGGGAGGAATAGTGCCCCATCATTGGTGTCAGTGGGAGGAATAGTGCCCATCATTGGTGTCAGTGGGAGGAATAGTGTCCCATCATTGGTGTCAGTGGAGGAATAGTGCCCATCATTGGTGTCAGTGGGAGGAATAGTGCCCATCATTGGTGTCAGTGGGAGGAATAGTGCCCCATCATTGGTGTCAGTGGGAGGAATAGTGCCCATCATTGGTGTCAGTGGGAGGAATAGTGCCCCATCATTGGTGTCAGTGGGAGGAATAGTGACCCATCATTGGTGTCAGTGGGAGGAATAGTGCCCCATCATTGGTGTCAGTGGGAGGAATTGTGCCCCATCATTGGTGTCAGTGGGAGGAATAGTGCCCCATCATTGGTGTCGGTGGGAGGAATATTGCCCCATCATTGGTGTCAGTGGGAGGAATTGTGCCCCATCATTGGTGTCTGTGGGAGGAATAACGCCCCATCATTGGTGTCGGTGGGAGGAATATTGCCCCATCATTGGTGTCAGTGGGAGGAATTGTGCCCCATCATTGGTGTCAGTGGGAGGAATAATGCCCCATCATTGGTGTCAGTAGGAGGAATAGTGCCCCATCATTGGTATCAGTGGGAGGAATAGTGCCTAGTCATTGGTGTCAGTGGGAGGAATAGTGCTCCGTCATTGGTGTCAGTGGGAGGAATTGTGCCCCATCATTGGTGTCAGTGGGAGGAATAGTGCCCCGTCATTGGTGTCAGTGGGAGGAATTGTGCCCTATTGTTGGTGTCAGTGGGAGGAATTGTGCCCTATTGTTGGTGTCAGTGGGAGGAATTGTGCCCTATTGTTGGTGTCAGTGGGAGGAATTGTGCCCTATTGTTGGTGTCAGTGGGAGGAATTGTGCCCTATTGTTGGTGTCAGTGGGAGGAATTGTACCCTATTGTTGGTGTCAGTGGGAGGAATTGTGCCCTATTGTTGGTGTCAGTGGGAGGAATTGTGCCCTATTGTTGGTGTCAGTGGGAGGAATTGTGCCCTATTGTTGGTGTCAGTGGGAGGAATTGTGCCCTATTGTTGGTGTCAGTGTGAGGAATAGTGCCCCATCCTTGGAGTCAGTGGTTTGAATAGTGCTTCAAGGGCCAGACAAAAGTAAGCAAAGGGCCAGATCCGGCCCTCGGGCCGTAGTTTGGAGACCACTGTTTTAAAGTAATGAAAGTTATTCCCCAATCAGCAGTGCACTTGGTGTGTGAGCAATAACATCATGGTCAGTGAGCTGCTTCTGCAGACGGACAACCATAAAATAAAGACGCTGCACCATTCTGAGACATTTTGTATCACAAGTTTACTTCTAAAATATTGGAATATTATATTTTATCGTAAATATGAAAAACAACAGATAATTATTACATATATTTGTAAATGTCAGAAACCTATCAAAGTAAGAAAACGACTAAACCAAAATGACAGTTGCCCGTTATGGTTCAGATGTGTATACAGAGCACTTGTCGCATGCTTTAACCGTTTCAATACCGGGCAATTTTCCCCCTTCCTGCCCAGGCCAGTTTTCAGGTTTCGGCGCTCTCACACTTTGAATGACAATTGCGCGGTCATACAACATTGTACCCAAACTAAAATTTTATCATTTTCTTCACACAACTAGAGCTTTCTTTTGGTGGTATTTAATCACCGCTGGGGTTTTTATTTTTTGCTAAATTAACAAAAAAAGACCAAAAATTTTGAAAAAAAACACTTTTCTTTGTTTCTGTTATAAAAGTTTACAAATAAATAATTGTTCTTCATAAATTTAGGCCGAGATGTATTCTGCTACATGTCTTTGCTGAAAATAACCCAAATTAGGATGTATTTTTTAGTTTGTAGGAAAGTTATAGAGTTCACAAACTATGGTATAGATCTGAATATTGATCAATCCTGAAGTACTGACAGCCAATCTAATTTCTTGAGGTCCAAGAATGTCAGAACAGTACAGATATCCCCCAAATGTCAGAACAGTACAGATATCCCCAAATGACCCCTTTTTGCAGAGTAGACAGTCCGACGTACTTCATAAGAGGCATGGCGAGTTTTTTGAAGTTGTATTTTTATGTCATAATTTTGCGGAAAATTAAAAAATTAAAAAAATTAATTTCACTATTTTTTTTTTTTTACATACTGTCACCAGTGCAGTACAGCGTCATCATATAACTGGCATGGCGGTGAACAGGGACACTTACTGGTGACAGTATGAAAAAAATATATATTTTTTTTTTTTTTTTTTTTATTATATTTAATTTTTTTAATTTTTTTTTTAAGATTTTTTTTCATATTTTACTATGACCAAGGTAGTACAATGTTACCATAGTAACACTGTACTACTTTGGGGAAGTGATCAGTATTTTTTTTTTTTTTTACACAATTTGCTTATAGCAAAGAATTACTTTGCTATAAGCAAGCATTTACCTGAATGAAATCGATTCATTCAGCTTTTTTTTTTTTTTTTGTGCTTAGCTGTGATTTGGTCACAGCTAATCACATGACATGTGCATGTGATTAGCTGTGACCATTCACAGCTAGGCACTAGTATACAATGGATGGCATCATGAATGAAGCCATCCATTGTATACAACTGTCATGTGACCTGCTGTGATTGGTCACAGCAGGTCACATGGTACCAGCAACGGGAGCCGGTACTCGGATCTGTCATCGGCCGTGTACGAGGTGCGCGGCCCGTGACAGATCCCGCTGCTGCGCCGCTCTGCATTACCGCAAACGGCGCATGTGCGGGAGCACGCCAAATGGCGTGCACCCGGAATGAAGAGGCACATCTGAAGCCGCCAAACGGCCATTGGCCGGGCGGCTAATGGTTAAATCATTCTTAATTTAGGAGACAAATGTAGAACAGCTTCTAATATTTCATATCCAACACAACAAACACTTTACTCCTGCGCTAGGAAAGGACTCAGGAGGAGTAGACCCAATAGGAATGTTCTGGAATTTTCTGGAATATGCACTGCTTGCTGCCCTCAACAGACCGGGGTGGTCCAAATACACTGGATACAAATGGAGAAACAGAAAAAGGGCGCACCGACCTCGTGCATTATCGTTTAAAATAATTTATTAAAGAAACAAAAATAGGTATCATACTCACAATGGACATAATAAGACAGGCATGTCAAACTGAACAAGATGTATGATCCAAACAACATCTGAGTCCATACGATGGAACCCTGGATGACCAACTGGCTAACGCGTTTCGAGGACACAACCTCTTCCTCAGAGCCAACACTACAGGAGTCTGCACTTCTCTTTATATTAGTTACTATATAAGTTATATAAGTTTTTTTAGTAACTTAGATAAAGAGAAGTGCAGACTCCTGTAGTGTTGGCTCTGAGGAAGAGGTTGTGTCCTCGAAACGCGTTAGCCAGTTGGTCATCCAGGGTTCCATCGTATGGACTCAGATGTTGTTTGGATCATACATCTTGTTCAGTTTGACATGCCTGTCTTATTATGTCCATTGTGAGTATGATACCTATTTTTGTTTCTTTAATAAATTATTTTAAACGATAATGCACGAGGTCGGTGCGCCCTTTTTCTGTTTCTCCATTTGTATCTAATATTTCATAATTAGGACTTGTATACAAGTATATCTAAAAGGCCAAACTTTTTGTCAGTTTAAATTAGAGTAGGGAATGGTAAAGCCTATCTTTGTTTCTCATTGGGGAGATTTTCCCTTCCGTTTTGTCCTGGAGATGCAACAGGAAGCGAGAGGAAATCTCTCAAAAATGAAGGGAAATCTTCTAGGAAGCTGTTGCCAGACTAGATGGACTTACTGGAGGTTTGCCCTCTATTCCTGTTATGGTAACTATTCCCAGTATTATGCAGGGGCGGACTGACCATTTGGAAACTCGGCACTGCCCGAGGGCCCGGGGTCAGTAGGGGGCCCCATGAGATGCCCCTGGTACCTTTTTCATAGGCTTTTTTGAGTTTGGGCAAGGACACAGGGGCCCCATGATCCCCTATTCCCCGGGGGCCCCATGAGTTGTCAGTCCACCCCTGGTATTATGACAACCTGCTTGAGGACCTAGGATTATGTCTCCCTAGGCATTCAGAACAACCTCCCAAACCTCAGCAAGTGTAAGGTCATAATTATCTAATTTTCCAAACAACAACTACACACTAAATCCTACTGTCAACGTGATACACCGTAAGGGCTCTCCCGGATCACCGATTTCCTTTTTGATGGTTGTAAGTAACGTAATGGACATGAAAGATTTGATCAGTGGAAATATGGAATCATAGCCATGACAGGTTGAGTAGATTAGATTAGGCCACGCCCTTTCATTGCAAAGGTGTGTTCAGGAACAGTCTGGTAATTAAGGATGTACATTGAGCCCCTGGGCAGTAGGGAAATGAATAGAAGGTACAAACAAATGGTCTGGGATCAGATGTGTATGTATACACAATTCCTCCATAGGCCTTACAGACTCAATCATCATTTAGCATTAATTAGCATTAATTAGCCTAAAGCCCCGCCTCCTGGAGGTGACACCTTTGTGTTAATGAGATTATCACCTGCTG